CACACACACACACACACACACACACACACACACACACACACACACACACACGGTTGCCCCAGGTAAGGGACCAAAGTCACCCCATAGGAAACCTCCGAGTGACAGTGAAAAATCCGAGTACCAGGAGCTGTTCGGTGGTGGTCCCGGTTTCCGGCAGGTGTTGGCTCAGTGCCTGGCATGCATTAAGAAATTCCTCTGTGGGTTTATATCTAAAGAAAATAGAGAGACTACGTATCAATTTCAGTACGCTGACAAAAAGGACTCTCACTCTCCACTTTCGGCAGCTCAAATAATCAAGCGGGCGACTATTCCACAATGACGGACATTCCTAAACAAAAACAATAACATGGCGGGTGGGGGGCATAGCCGCTCATAGTTCTGTGTGGCATACGGCTCAGCTTCTGAAGGGCAGATGCTATCTTTTCATGCTGCTTTTGGCAGGGCTGGAGCAGATGAGAAAGGCACCGGGCCGAGGCCCAGTGGTAGTTACTGACATGCCAGGAAGGAACGTGCTACCTTTCTGCCTGGGTGCACAGAAAAATCTGAAGAACCCAACCCAGGTTTTTCCAGCTAGTCCTCCATGAAGGGCACCGGAAATAGGAACAGAGTCAGTAACGTGAGAACCTGTGAGGCTTGGGGTGTCGCCTGAGTCTGAGGACATCCTCCCTCATGGAGATTTAATAGCATGGTCATCTTGGGCTGTTGCAGCGGAGCAGCCTGTGGGCCTGCTTGCCTGTCAGCTCTGTCCTTCCATCCTCCACACCCAGGCTGAGGATGGCAGAGGTGACGTCAGCGGTGCTGGTTGGCATATTTCTATGGATTGAGGGCCTACTCTGTGCTGGGTATGTCACAGCATTTCCTCACACAGTCCTTAGATCCAACCTAGTTGGCTGCTGCTCTCCTTGCTTCCTGGATGAGGGCATTGGTTAAAGACCCTGATGGTCACTGTAGAACTACAAGTGTGGGCCTGCTGTTGTCAGCCACACGAAGAATCTGTGTAGGAACCAGAAGGCCCCTGGGCCCAAATCCTTGTCCTACTCGGGGCATCACCTCATCTCCCGATGTCTTTGTTTCCACATCTATAAAGCAAGGATTGCAGTTCTACCTACCAGGATTGCGAAGACGATTCCATAAAGTAATATTTGTCAGGTCCGTCATACAGATGGTGCCAATATGCTGGCTTTTATAGAGAAAGAACTTGGGCCATAGGGTTGTTCCTCATGGAGCTGAGAGCCACATTTGTTTAGTTCGCTCAGCACAGGGGTTGCCACAGGAGAGAACCTCATCAAGCATCGCTGAACGGGTTGGTAAAAATGCACACACACACACACAAAGCGACTAATGAAGGAGAAAGATGCCCTTGCCCCTTCTCAGAGGAATACGTGTTCCCACTTCCTCCACCCACGTGACTCACCTCTCAGGCCTCAGGTGACAGGCTTCCTCCCCAGGACCACCTGCATGGCCTGAGCTAGTGCTGCCTCCGGGGGCGTCCTGGCCATCCTCACAGCCAGTCTGTACGTCTCTGTCCTCTGCGGGCTCTGAGCAATCACGTTTCTTCTCCGTCTCACTGTCAGACAAGTCCTCAGGAGAGCTGTCCTCCCCACTGGTCTCCTCACTAGAAGTACTCTCGTAGCTAGGCAAAGAGACAAAGGTCATTTGGGTCATCCTTCTTGACCAGGGCCAGTGGTTCATGCTAACACCAGTATATGCTTCTGCGATCCTAACGCTAGGGCCAGAGAGAGCCCAAGTGTAAGGATACCCATATCCACTTTAAATTTCCTCTTAACCCCCCTCCCCACTCCAGCCCAGATTACATATGGCAGTGTTGTTATCACACAGAGCCTTCGAGGAGCTCTGTGTGATAATAGTCACAAATAAAACGTCTGTGAGTGAGCATGGAGGGAGGAAGGCTGACTTCAAGAAGAACGTGGGTTACAGCTAGGCGTGATGCACTTGGAATTTCAGCCCTTGGGGGGGAGAGGTGCTGAGGTAGGAGGATTGAGTGTGTGGCTATCCTGGGCTACATAGTAAGTAAGATCCTGTCTCAGAAATACAGTGAGAGAGAGAGAGAGAGAGAGAGAGAGAGAGAGAGAGAGAGTGTGTGTGTGTGTGTGTGTGTGTGTGTGTAATACAGGCTCTTAACCTTGGCTACACACCAGAACATTCAGGGTTTTTAGCATTCTCAGGATATGGACTGTATCCCAAGTTAGATGTACCAGACTCCATGATTACAACTGAGAATTTTCAAAGCTTGGTGTTCCTGGTGGGCAAACACAATGAGCACCATAATTCTGGAGCGCCATACTGAGGAGGGGCCAAGGGATGACTCCCTTGGCAGGGCAAGCAAACAGAAAGAAAGGAAGGTGGACAAGCCTTCAGGGAGGGCCCATTCAGGTCTGGGCTAGAACCCTTTCAGGCTTCCGTAGCATCCTGCACTTCCTTGCCAAGAAAACTGCCAATCAGAAGTTTCTCCTTTCTAATTAAAAAAAAAAAAAAAAAGAAAGAAAGAAAGAAAAAGAAAGAAAGAAAAAGGTTGTATTACATCTATGTATTTACTTGTGCTCTCTCTTTCTCTCATGCACACACATGTCACAGTGTGTGTACGGAGGTCAGAGGACAGTCTGAGAGAGTCAATTCTGTCCTGCGGATTAACTCAGGTCTGTCCTCAGGCTTGGTGGCAAGCAAGCCACCTCAGTGGACTCCCTTTGTTTCTCGACTTACCTGTGAGCTAAAGGTAGCAACCAGGATTTACTTGACTTTTTTTTTTCTTTTTAAACCCTGTCACCAAGCATACAGCTGTCTCTTAGTGAACATTTGTGAACTAACCAATTGAGGATGCAGTCAGGTACAGTTTACTCTCAACACAGACTGCATACACTCCAGATCATATTGCTTAGTGATGCCACCGATGTCTTAGCTTGTGTAGAACTCTGACGTTCACACAGTGATGAAATCCCCAAGGATGCCTTTCTCAGAATGCATCCTTGTCAGCTGACACGTGACTGTATCTAATGCTCAGACCCCCAGGTTTCGGCATTGTGTTCAAGTCAGAGGCCTTCCTCACAGGGCTCAGAAACCCTGATACTCTCACAAGCCACCTGGAGGTGGGCCCTGGAGAGACCAGGACAAGCCACATTAAAAGTAGAGGTTCCAACAGACCAGCACAGCTGGCAAGGAGTCAGACATGTGCAAACCCAACACAGAGTTTTGACAGGCCATGGAGACTGAGTCCCTGCAGATGAATGAGAAACAGAGGTACCCCCTAGGGAAACGGTGCTAAGGACAAGAGTGGGTTAGAAAGCAGGGAAGGCAGTCTGAGCTTCACAAGCGATGCTTACCCACCGTTAACCCCAACAAACTGAAGGTTCTTTTTGGTCCCATTACCTCCTGCACGGAAGCCATAGTCTTTCTTTTTCATTATGGATTTAAGGCTGGTCGACGGAGAGATCTCTAGGCAGACACAACATCACAGGTTAGAATCACCTCAGGGCAACCAAGCTAGGATTATCACTTTAAGAGCATGTAGGTATATGAAGAGGGTGAAAGGTGGGAGGGCAGATAATGCGGGTCAGATTTTTGAGGCTGTTAGCTACAAGGCCCTCTTGGCCAATGTTTGTAGGACCCGTACCTAGGAATGGTGTCCCTCTCTGTGTCTGAATGACAGAATAGCTATTGGAACACATCTCAAAACACATGCGTGTAGTAGTGTCAGCGTTTTCTTTGTCTTGGGGCTGGGAGATCTGGGCTCAGACTTGCACATGGAATGGTGTGGCAGAACTTTGGGTGCGGGTCCACACCCATCTCTTCTCAATGCGTCTCAACAGTCCTTCCTTGGCTAGCATGCCAGTTGCCATTTGTGATGACACTGGACTCGTGACCTGGTACGTGGACCAGGTCACAAATCCTGTGCTGTGTAGTGGCAGGAAGACAGTTCCCCACAGGCAAATCTAGAAATAGCCAAAGAGTGAGAAGGCAGCAGATTTGTGACCGGTGGCAGGGAAGCCACCTGTATTCTGCAAGGCACTGCATCCGGCTCAGCTTTGCTGGACCGTGAGGAGCGTGAGACGCCTTAGCCATTCCTGCTCAGCTAAGGGGTGACTTCTATATGTGAGCAGCCCTCTTCCCTCCACACCTCCCCCCTCCTTGCCCTTCCTCCTTCCATCCATTCCCCCCTCTCTTATATCCCCACACCCCAAATATTAAACGAACTATTTCAGATCTCATTATAACGCTCCTTCAAATACTCAGGCTAGAGAAAACCTTTGGTGTGAAAAGCCGGAAAGGAAGGTGGAACTTGCCAGATTCCAGGACCCACAGAAGGGACACCCAGGAGGAGTGTATTGGCAGTACCACTCCTGGCCTGAGACACGGCCTATGCATAATGTATACATATGAGGCACCCTCTGCGAAGACTCAGGGCTGCAGGCTCACGGCTTGGCAAATAGTTTTCCCTCCATACCTCTCCGTAGCCTGTGCTATCTATTCAGCCAGACACAATCCTGTAAGCAAGGCCTCCACAAACCACTTTCTATTTCCCTGAGTCCTCGGAGGTATTCACATCATAGAATTAAAACCCCTGGTCCCTACAATTGGTCATTTAAAGGAGAAGTATTTACCCGGTGGTGGCGGAGGGGTGGAGGAGGGTGGTGGGGCAGGAGGCTCCTTCTCCTCTGGGGCCTGGGCTGAATAGACGGAGAGCAGCAGGTTGAGGGAACTGAGCAGCTGGTTCTGGATGCTGCTGAGCTTGGACGCAGGCTGTTTGATGGCGCTGGCCAGCTCCGGGTACCCATGTTCCAGGCAATTCCACTGCTCATGCAGAAGCTCTTGGATCTTTTTAACATACTGGCCAATAGTGGCGTCTTGTGGGGAACTTGCTGGCCTTCCTGGACGCTCTGCCCCGGGGGGTTCTGAGCTGGCCTCCTCCCTGATCACTGAGGCAGACTCTCTGCTGCTGCTCCAGGGAGAGCCTCCTATCGGCCTGCCCAAGCCCTCAGCTTCCACCTGTGGGCCAATCTCTTGCTCAGTGACCTCTTCTTCGATCCTGAGTTCCATGGAGAGGCAGCTACATAAGGATGAGGCAAGGACCTGCTCAGGTCCCTTTGGCAGTGACAGCTGGGGTGGTGGCACGGGCTCTTCCAGGCTCTGATAGCCTTGTTTGTGATTGTTTTGGACCCATGGGAAGCCATTTTTTTCTGTTCTAGATGCCCAGCGTTCAGGATTAGGAATGCTCAGAAGGTTGACCCCAATGTTCTTGTCACATGATTCTCTGGGGATGAGTTCATGAAGGGGGTCAGTGTTCACCATGACATCAGTCCGGTCCAGAGCCTCGCTGGCCTTCTCTTGACTAAACTTTTCTTCAAAATGGGCTACAGTGCACTCCAGCTCGTGAATCCTCTGTTCCCTGGCCTTGGTCTCCTCTTGCTGCTGCTCAAGGGCAGCCCTGACCTGGGCAAGCTCCTCTGTTCTCCCTGACAACTTGTCCTCAAGGGCCAAGACCTGATTCTTGAGGCTGGAGATACCGCTGGTATCAGTCTTAACCAGGCCCAGGCTTTCCTCTGTTACCCAGATACCAATGCTGTGCACATCCACCTCTATGGGTGGTGGGGGTGGGATCTCACTGATGTTGAGCTCAATTTCCTCCAGGGAGAGCTCGTTCTCAGGGATGGGGGATGGCAGAGGGGGTGGGCTGGGAGTGCAGGAGCCGGGTGTTAAGACTACCTCTGCTTTTCTAGCCTGGTGCTGAAGTCCCACTTCCTCTAGAACCATGGGAACATTCCGGGCTGAGGAGGGAGGCCCTGGCTGAGAGAGCTGACTTGTAGCTTTGATGTCATCTTCTCCAGGCTCAGCCCCCTCCCAGGCCAGCTCTGGAATCGCGGGTTCCAGTTTTCCCAGTTCTCTGTCCGGTGACTGGGCCGATGCCTGGGCCGATGCCTGGAAGCCTGTGAACCCCTCTGCAGAGTCAAAGGTGCCGTCACAGAGGCTGCCTTCATCCTGGAGCAGAGGGAGGGCAAGGAGTGTGGAAGGACCCGAGGTCAGGCTGGGCTCATCAGGGGCCTGGTTTGGCGGCAGAGTGGCTGGCATGCTGGACGCTCTCAGAAGCTGGGGCCGCCCGCTCCCAGCATCCTCCTGAACATCAGCCTCAGCCTGCCTGGTACCCTCTGTCAACAGGGCCTTTCTGAAGTGGCTCAGTTCACTGCCATGCGCTGAGGCCTGGGGGAGAGCAACCACTGGCAGAGACTGGGATTGATCCTGGGTCCCCAGGGACTTCTTCCTGGGCACCACAGGAGACCAGTTTTGCTGGAGAGGAGCAGCATGGGTGCGAGCTCCACTGTCAGGAAGGCTGAAGTTTCGGGGCAAAGTGCTAAACTTAGCCTGCTTGGCTCTTCTGTGGATAGGAATCCTTTTGATGGTGTGTCCCTTCTCGATGTCGTCCACATATTTGAGGAAGTCTAAGTCCAAATGAAAGCCATATGGGGTCTCCACAGAGTAAGGGTGGCTCTTTGGGAGATCTTTCTCTTCATCCCCCTGAGAGGACTGGTCCTTGGCTGGGAGATACGAGACATAAAGGAAGAAGCACAAAGTTAAAATGAGGCTGAGTGTCTGAGGCTTTGACCTCACACTGTCATGTGAGATGTCTCTCCAACTCTAGAGTGTTAGGGTGCTGTGGAGCCTATGGACTTGGTGCCTGTGCTGGGATAGTGTCTCATCAGATCAATGTGTTTGTAGCCACCGTCTGTACTTTCTTATTTTCAATATACCACCTCAGTGGTTATCATGAACCTGCCTGCAGACCAAGAAAACAAAATTGCCTCACACTGTTCTTCTCTGTTGCATCCTGTAACTGCTGAGCTGAAGTTCAGCCATTTGTCAGAGGAGGGTACCAACTGGCAATTACAGACATGGGAGATTCTGAAGGATGAGACAGACAATTTTCTCAGCATTCAAAGAGAAACTGGCATGCCTCAAAAAGGCTCCGGTAAATCTTGCGGAAGGCTAAGCTATTGATAATTTATGACGCCTGCATTATTTAAGCTCCTGGGGTGCCTGAGCCTCTGGTTACCTAAAGACCAAAGGGAATTGGAGCAAGTGATCATGAATACCCAATATTCCTCCCCCCCAACCATGTAGGGCGTAACAATATGAGACCCCCTTTCAAAAGCCCATGCTAGTGAGGAAATACCATATTTTCCATGGACTGTGAAACATCTGTCCAGAGAGGAGAGCCCATAAATGTCAAAAGGGAGGGTCATACATCTTCCGAGACCTGTGGGTTTCATGGCCTCTTGGGGACACCTGACCTGAACCATGGTGGGAGGGAGACCTGATGGGGAGACTGTTCTCCCTTAAGCCACCATCAATCTCCCTCCTGACTCCCACAGAAGACGCGAGGAACCTGTCAGTTCACAGACTACTTGAAGTCACTGGGACTTGCACACAGATTCTTTCTCTTTCCAGGCTCAGTGGTCTTCGATCCTTTGGCGCTCTTCCCATGACACCCTTGTTAGCTGCGGACATGATTTGAGATGGCGCTGTGAGGAAACTGAGCTCAGAAGCCTGGCTGGGGATGGTGGCGCCCACCTATAGTCTCAGCACTCAAAGGCAGAGTCGGGAGTTCACGTTCCAGGCTAGCCTGAGCTGTAGCGTAAGACTTCATCTCAAAGGAAAAGCAAAACAAAATCAAACAGAGAAGCAAGATGAATGAGAGAGTCCAGTCTCTAGTTTGCTCTGTGACCTTGGGAAACTCACTCAGCTTCCCTGTGTCTCATCACCGTAAAGCGGGAATAACAATAGGTAATGTAAAATTATTTTGAGGCCCGATTAATTAATAATGAATACGATAGTCTCAGTCCCATGCCTGGTGAGTGATAAACATTCTCAATCTGTTACTCTGTGTGGCTCAGCCCTGGGAATGAAGAAGGGCCTGCACACATTCTCCGGGACTGATGATTGCTGGGTTTTAGTGCAAAAATATTAACGACCAGCTATTCAATCTATTTATCTCAGCTACTCTTTACTGAGTACCTATTGTGTCAGTTGCTGAGGTATATTTTCCAGAGACACAAAGATAAGTCAGGAACAGTCATTTTCCTCAAAGGATTTATGGTCAAATAAGGCAGCTGCATAGGCTATGTGCTGGGCATAGCCTATCTTCTTCACTTTCTTACTTTCCCCTTTCTCTGCAAGTATTTTCTTGGACATAAAGTAAAAAAAAAAAAAAAAATGCCTTGCTAATGGAGGGAGACTTCACAAAGGTGACTAAGATGGGATATTATATGAACAAATAGGAATTTGTCAGAACAAGAAGGCAAAAGATGGCTCCAACAGCATCTAGCCCATTTAGACAGGGGAGCTAATTCCACAAAGAAGGAGGAACCTCTTTCTTCACACTTTCGAATCTCTACTGGCTTTCGATGCTTTGATCAGAAGAATACAGCAGTGATGATGTGAGAAGAACTCAAAAAGTTAGGCTGTAAGGAAACTGGTAGTTTCTAACAGGGCCTCTCAGAATGCACATATGTTGGGGAAGCCAGCCACCTTGAGATAAATCTCTGAGGCTGCTGTGATGGGAGGAAGCTTTAGCAGCTTCCCACGGAAATTATCTGGAAAAGGAGAAGGGATGAAGAGAGAATGGGACAGAAAGAAAAAGACTGTCCTAGCCACCTTAGCCCAAAGGCTGGGAACATCCATCTTACAGGAAGCACCCCAAGAGAGGGGCTCCCAGCTAACTCCGGATCAGTAGCCAGTTACTGTGGGAAGCCATTGTGTTTCAGGGAGGTCTGCACTGAAGCAACAGGCAGCCAGGACAGGCATTCTATAGGTAGAGGGATCAAAGAAATGGCAAAGACACAGAGGTGTGAGCACACCTCACATAGCACGCCACGGGAGGGTAAAAGTCTATATGGCCATAACTTAAAGAGTGGGAAGGAAAGAGTTAGGAGAAAAAGACAAAATGGGGAGGGTGAAAAAAAAGCTGGATCACAGAGCGACGTGTATGTATGCCACCCACATGACTTACTGTCTAGGTAACAGGATTCACTAGCAGGCTTTAAATAAAAAGTGAGTTGGTATGTAGAAAAATGCAAATAAATCCATATTTATCACCCTGCACAAAACTAAAGTCCAGATGGATCAAACACCTCAACATAAAACCAGACACACTAAATCGGTTAGAAGAAAAAGTGGGAAGGGCCTAGAATTCATTGGCACAGGAGACAACTTTCTGAACAGAACACCAACAGCACAGGCTCTAAGAGCAACAATCAATAAATGGGACCTCATGAAACTGAAAAGCTTCTGTAAAGCAAAGTACACTGTCGTCAGAACAAAACTACAGCCTACAGACTGGGAAAGTATCTTCACCAACCCTCTATCTAACAAAAGTCTAATATCCAGAATATATAAAGAACTAAAGAATAAATAAAACAACAAATCAAGTAATCTAATTAAAAAATGGAGTACAGAACTAAACAGAGACTTCTCTGTAGAGGAATATAGAATGACAGAGAAACACTTAAAGACATGTTCATGGGGCTGGAGAGATGGCTGCTCTTCCAGAGGACCTGGGTTCAATTCTTAGCAACCACATGGTGGCTCACAACCATCTATAATGGGATCTGGTGCCATCTTCTGGTGTGCCGGTATATATGCAGGCACAACATTGTGCACATAATAAATAAATAGTTAAAAAAAAAAGAAATATTCAACATCCTTAGTCATCAGGGAAATGCAAATCAAAACAACCCTGAGAGTTCACCTTACACCCATCAGAATGGCTAAGATCAAAAACTCAAGTGACAACACATGCTGGAAAGGATTTGGAGAAAGGGAACCCTCCTCCACTGCTGGTGGGAATGTAAACTTGTACAACCACTTTGGAAGTCAATCTGGCACTTTCTCAGACAATTAGGAATAGCACTTCCTCAAGATCCAGCTATACCTCTCCTAGGCATATATCCAAAAGATGTTCAAGTATACAACAAGGACATTTGCTCAGCCATGTTCATAGCAGCTTTATTCGTAATAGCCAGAACCTGGAAACAACCCACATGTCCCTCAACTGAGGAATGGATATAGAAATTATGGTACATTTACACAATAGAATACTACTCAGCAATTAAAAACAAGGAAATCATGAAATTTGCTGGCAAATGGTGGGATCTAGAAAAGATCATCGTGAGTGAGGTATCCCAGGAGCAGAAAGACACACATGGTATATACTCACTTATAAGTGGACATTAGACTTATAATATAAGATAAACATTCTAAAATCTGTACATCTAAAGAAGCTGAGCAAGAAGGAGTACCCTGGGTAAGATGATCAATCCTCACTCAGAAAGACAACAGGATGGACATTGGAGGAAGGAGAGAACAGGAAGCAAGATGGGAGCCTACCACAGAGAGCCTCTGAAAGACTTTTCCCAGCAGTGAACCAAACTTTGGGCAGAGTGCAGCTAATCTTAGGAAAGAAGGGGGAGATAGTAAGACCTGGAAAGGACAGGAATTCCATAGGGAGAGCAACAGAACCAAAAAATCTGGACACAGTGGTCTTTTCTGAGACTGATACTCCAAAAAAGGACCATATATGGATATTACCTAGAACCCCTGCTCAGATGTAGCCCATGGCAGCTCAGTATCCAAGCGGGTTCCCTGGTAAGGGGAACAGGGACTGTCTCTGACATGAACTCAGGGGCTGGCTCTTTGATCACCTACTCCTGACGGGGAGCAGCCTGACCAGTCAACAGAGGAAGACAATGCAGCCAGTCCTGATGAGACCTGATAGACTAGGGTCAGATGGAAAGGGAGGAGGACCTCCCCTATCAGTGGACTTGGAGAGAGGTATGGGAGGAGATGATGGAGGGAGGGTGGGATGGGAAGAGATTGAGGGAAGAGGCTACAGCTGGGACACAAAATGAATAAACTGTAATAAACATATAAAAATAAAAATTTAATTAAAAAAAAGTGAGTTCGTCAAATTTCAAGCAGGTTTTGTTTTTTGAAGTTGCTTTGGTTTAGTTTGGTTTTAAGATGGGGTCTCACTGCAGAACCCAGGCTGGTCCTGAATTATTATTCTGTCTACCTCATTGAGCCCCTGGAGCACTGGGATTAGAATTGTGTAATATCTCGAACAGCTCGAAATGAACATTCCAGCCCACGATTAAAAAGAAAGATAAATCAGAAGCCTGGGACCAGAAGGGAGATTGTTGATATGATCAAGGTAAGAGAAACTGAGAGTAATTTGGAGGGAAAGCGGAAGGCTTTAGGAAGGCACTAATGATGGGATTGCTGGGGGAAGACAGCCTGAGGCTACACGTCTTCCTAGGCATCTCTAGAGAACCGGGTGGAGCAGTACTCTTGCTAAACAGATCTGCAGTCCTGTGGGTGACTGTCACAGCCACAGCAGAGAGCAGGGTGACGTTCTGATTCACACCGTGGTTCCTGCTGGGCTTCAGACTTCAGGTAGACAAGGGGGCAGTGTGCCCCCGGCACCCAAATATCCCCACATAACCACATAACTTCCCAACTACACACACAACTCCCCCCCACCCCCGCAACTTGTCCACTTTTCAAGGAGACGCATTGCAATGAAAGCAACTAAAACATTTTTCTGTTATTGCTTCTGTTTCCCAAGTTGTACTCTGATGCAGACTAGTCCCCTTAGGAAAACCGTGGATTAGGGGGACAAAACAAATCAGAGAGGAGACATCTGTCCAAAGGTAAGTAGATTTATGACCCAGAGCGTAGGCTTCTCCTGTAGGAGAGGTGGCACTGTTTGTTGTATCTGTCTGTTGCCTCTATGCAGGAGAAATGCTCCGATTTTCCCAGCAGCCTCTGGGAGCAGAGCTGGAGCATTAATATATAACATCAAGCAAGAAACATAGTGTCAAACAGCAAACCCTTTCAGCTGAGAGGCAAGGGGAGCCCAAGAACCTAGAAGGTATCAAAGGTCAGAGGTTTATGGGGCTCGGGAAATGGCTCAGCAGGCAAGAGAGCTTGTTGCTCTTCCAGAGGACCTGAGTTCCATTCTGAGCACCTATGTCAGGCTGCTCACAACTGCCTCTAACTCCAGCTGGCCTCCCAGGGCATTCACAGAGCGTATGCTTACCCAGACAAGTACACATAAATAAAACGTATCTTTTTAAAATACTTATTTTTATTTCATGTGCCTTGGTGGTTTTGCCTGCATGTATGTCTGTGTGAGGGTGTGAGTTACCGATACTTTTGAATTGCCATATGGGTGCTGGGAATTGAACCTGGGTCCTCTGGAAGATCAGCCAGCACTTCCAACGGCTGAGCCATCTCTCCAGCCCCCAAAATAGATCTTAAAAAAAAAAAAAAGAGTTGAGAGGTTTAAGAAGTACCTTACACATACACACATACCCACACTCACTTATCAACTTGGTGACCTTCATGTTGCCCCGAATTCCACCTACCCTCTGCATTCCTCCTTTCCTCCCAGGGCAAGAGTAATGCTGGATCCTCAGCCCTTATGGAAGGGGCCCAACCTCACATTAAGGTGAGAGCCTTGTCAGTTCTATCTGATGACAGGTATGTAAGAGCTCAAGGCCTCAAGGCCCAAAAGGACTTAGAACTGTCTCTGTTCAAAATGAAAGTTAGATCCAGCAAACCAACCCTCCCACTTGCATGGCTCAGGAAAAAGAATCTTATTTCTTTTTCTTTATGCTTCATTTTCCCCCCTCTTTAAAGCAGAGAAATGATGCCTGCCTGCCTATGTAGGCTCTTAGTGAAGCTCCTAATAGTATGACTGGGAGATTCTGATGGGTCAGAGGAGGACTGGCTGTGGACTCTCTCCCTGGGCTATCTAACTCTGTGAATATCAGAATCTGGGTATGTGTGTGTGAAAGCCTCCCTCCCCCAAATAACTGGAGGAACAGGAATGGAACAATGAATGCGGGGTGGGGGGAGGATAAAGAAAAACAAGCTACAGGAGATTCAAAGCTGTTGGGAACTGTCTCGCTTCGAAAAGCAAAGTTGGTTGGAAGTCACTTGGAAAAGACCTGCAAACACAGCCACCAGACAGACAGACAGACAGACACAGACACACAGACACACACACACACGGGGTGGGGGTAGAAAAGGAACGGAGAAGGAGGGAGTGACAATGATTATTTCAAAGGCCAAGTGAAGTAGAGCAGGTGAATGAATCAATCAGAGGTAGTTAAAGAGAGAAAGTGGCTCAAGTGTCTGTCATCAGTTTCTGAAGGAAACGGGAAAAACAGATCTAAGAAAAAGCGGCCGAAAGAGAAGGGATATTCAATGAATGTCTTTGAAGGCCAAGATAGTACAAACATGGTAGCTCATGCCTTGAGTACCAGCACTGTGGGGAGGTATTAGGCAGGAGGCAGGCAGATCCCTGTCAATCTGGTCTATATAGCAAGGATCGGGACACACAATGAAACCCTGCCCGAAACAAAAGAAGTCAAGATACAGGGGATGCACTCAAAGGGAGGAGCACCGTTTTTTGAGTTGCTGGATGGAGGAGTTGCTGAGTCACTGAAAGGGAGTGAGTGATATTGAGAAGTCGGACCTATTTCCCGGGATGCTCTGGAGAGCAGCGCTCTGTGGGGAGTGGCGGGCTCCTGAAATATAGGGCAGTGCGTGTGGAAAAAAAGCAAGAGGCTGGACAGCAGCTGACTCCTAGTCCTAATTCCTGCCCTAGTAAGGGCATCGTGACTGAAAGACTGTGGGCTCTCTCGTTTCCTGAAACTGGCTGATCAGAAAAAAGACATCTCATCAGAGTGGGGAGCCTGGGGTCTAGGCCGTGGCCCGGAGCACATTTCTTGGGAGGGGACATTCGCTATGCTAGATAGTTATTACTCAGTGGTTTTATGTGCACCATCTTGCTTCCTCCCGTGGCAGCCCTGGGAGATAGCAGTAATACCCATTTATAGATGAGGTGTGACAGATACTCTGGGAAAGTGCCCAATATCATACCTCCGCTGGGTAACTGTTCTGCCACCCAGTCCACGGATTGTTTTTGTGACTGGCTTTGGCTGAGGGTTGGGTGTCAGCAATCATGACATAGAAATTTGTGAACCCTGGCTGCCCATTGAGATGTGTCTGCTCTTCTTATGCTTGCCCTCTGCCTCCGTATGGCAAAATGTCCCGGCTATCCTCCTGGTTGGTGAGCAGCATGTGGTTAAGTCATTACTGGTGGCTCCGAAGTTAACTATCAGACATCCAAACAAGGCCCTTTTAAACCATCCAACCCCCGGCCTAGCCATCCGGGAGACCACATGAATGGGCCCAGGAGAGATCAGCCATACCAGCATAAACCAAAATGCTGCCTTCAAAGCTTTCTGCAGTCTTTTGAGAAATAACAAATGTAAGTTGCAATTTTTTTATTCCCTCATCTGTTAAAAATAAAAGGTGATGAGGGCAGGGACTCTATTCCATTCTTGGTAGTTGGATGAGATGAGAATTAAAAAAAATTAAATTATGTATTTTTTTTTTTTAACTTCACAAGAATCTATGTTCATTCTCTACCACCCACTGTGGTTCACAGCTAAAGTAGGTGCTCTGGGCCCTTTTGGAGAATTTCTCCTGCAGACCTCCCCCAGAGCCTTTTCAGGGACTGGTACCAATTAACCCTTTCCAAACTAACTAACCCGTTAAATCGGGAACCAGCAAACCCCCTGCCTACCATCTGTCTTCTCCATCATATGACTGTGATGTTCAGTCTCTTGGGTACTCCACATCCACTGGGTCTGTGCAATTTGTGGAGAGTTCTGAAAGAAAAGAAAAAGACACAGTCAGCCAGAGCTAGAATAAATTAAAGCTGGGGAAATAGTACAAAGAAAACAACGCTCAGCCGGGCCTTTCTCCTAGGGATGCTCACAGACTCGCTTCCCAAGGTGGGAGGTGAAAAACCAGACATATTCCGGAGACAGATTTTAGGTGTGTCTTCACAGAATGGAATGCTGGCAGGTGACACTAAAGGAGCCACTTAGCCCAAGCCCACAGGACAAATGAGGAAACGGAGGCAAGGTGAGCTGTGCACCCAAGGCTCTCAGTAGACTACTGAAAGCCGTGGAAGGGGCTCAGGACGTCCCGCCCTTTCCTGCTGACAGACCAGAATCCATCTTGTGAAAACTCTGCCATGGACTACCTATAGGTGATCGGAGGCATCCCGATCAAATTCAAGACAAAGATGAGATGTCAGGACCGACAAGGAGCTGCTGATGCGGAGGGTTGGTTTATGACCATGGGGAAAAGGGGAAGTTCAACCCATCTGGCCAGAAGACATCAGGCGCCTCCCAAGCAGAAAGCTGTCCTTATTCTGAATTAGTCAACCTTAAGATTTGACCATCAGTTCTCAAAGTTTTAATCCATTCCTAGGACCCTCTCTAGCTCCTATCCCATTACAATAGATCACACAGAAACTGGCCTTTTGTGATTATCAGCCACTTTACAGTAGGATAATGAATTATCCACAGCAGTGGAAACAGAGTTGTTGTAGGATTTTAACGTGCCTGGCAATAGCCAGAACAGAGAACAGTGGGCTACTGAAGAGGGAAGGGTCTAAGAATGAGGAGCGACCATCATTCTGGGACACACTTATGGGAAAGGGAGAACCAATGACATTATTGCCTGCCAGGTAAGAGTGAAATTCAAGATGGCTCAATCCTGTGTGTGACGTAAACCCTGCGAGGGCTGTCTGCATCTCCCAAGCCTATGCCTGGCTTTCTACCTGGGATCCTTCACGCAGGCTATACACAAGACCTAGGACGTCGGCTGAACCTCAAAGGACAGATGTGTTTTGTGGCAGCAGAGACGCTCCTGCAAGAATGCTAATGTTGACCCTTAGTTTAGAGTTAACAAGCACTTGACCAGCAGTTGCTTGATTCCGGTAGGAACAGAGCTGGGGCCAAGGCATAGCAAGGATCACAGTGCCTGTAGGTCTCGGAGCTAAGAGCAGTCTTGAAGGAGAACAATGGGAAAGCATGGTTGGTTCCCGGAGTGAGGGAGGGCTGGCCTTGTGGAAAAGAGGAGACACACATGCAGAGGACTCTCTTGCCTCTCCCATGACCCTGTATTTGTAGCCTCTGAGGTGAGATGGCAAGCCAGGGAGGGGAAACTGTGTCAAGCGAAGCTTAGAAAGGGATTTTTGGCCCCCTACTGTCTTAACCTTTCTGTATTCTGCATCCTGCTCACCCGCATCCGGTGACAATACCACACCGCTCGCAGGTGGGGTTGGAAGCACTTAACGTACTGGAGTTGTCTCACACAGCTCTTACCTTAACCCAACAGGATTACTATTCTCAGTGTTCAGACGGGGAAACTGAGACTAAGCGTGAAGGGCATAACAAGCGGATGCTGGAGTGTGACAGGAGCTCTAGCCAGCCCCGAGTCTGTGCTGGAGATACAGCAGCCCAGTTCACAGTTGTGACTGTCCCTTGCTCTCCCTGGGAGGGGAACCTTTCTGACTAATGCTTCTTCCATCTCTACTCAGGTGATGTAAAGCTCCTGGGCCTGGGGAAGTAGGGCCTGCTGGGCCTCATGAGCCTGCCTCGCTAAAGTGGAAGGAACTCCAGCCTAAGTAGCTGGACCTGTGGCCGCAAAGTCGAAGCAGCACCTGGGGACACCAGACTTGTTGCCTTTGGCTAGAATTCTGAATTCAGCCCCTCCAACGTGGGCTCAAATGACTTCTAGGAATTAATCCACACACATTAGGCGGGATTTCAGGATGAAAAACTCCTTAGAGGCCCCTAATGTCCCTGCCCACCGCACACTTGCATTTTCCTGAAACTAATAACTCCAAGGCTACAGGCATTAAGTGGAGCTGAAGCCCAGCTCTCCAAGAAAGGGCTGTACAACTTTTCACTCTAAAGGGCTCTGAGCACAGAAAGGAAATGAAGAAATTCACCCTCTCCTTCCTCACCTGGGCCCTCGCTGGGTCCACATTCCTCCACCATTCTTAAGGTAGACATTTTGGCTTTTGGCTAAGGCAGAGTCCTTGGAGAGTGCAGATGTTGGAGTGGAGAAAGTGTGCCACTCTAGCACGTGCTACTGTCTTCGAAACACAAAGCCTGAGAATGAGGATAGCTTTGTTGGACATCCTTTCCCCTTTAAAGTGGAATCCTGCAGCTATCTGGAGCATTTCAAGCTTTGACATACAGCAGTCTTTAACCTCCCTGCTAGGCTGTACCCTACCCCCCCCCTCTCTCTCTCACACACACACACACACACACACACACACACACACACCCCGCCCCATGAAGATTTTTGAACATCTGCTGCTGTTGTCTGTGGTCTGTCCCTGTCCAAGGACCCCCAATTAGGCCCCAGCCTTTCTCACTTGCTCATTGCGTTCTCACCCTTTTCAGGGCAGAGAGCTTTATCGTTCTAGCTCCTGTCCTCTCCTTATCGGCAGGGCTTCTGAAAGTCAGAATTCTTGAGAGATGCATCCCTGCATCTCCCCTGACTCTCCGAGTTTAAAGCGTGTTGGACATACTGTGTAAACGAGGGAACAAGTTGATCCATCGTCTCCGAACGGAACCAACGTAGAGAAATAAACAAGTGCCAATCCCTCGGCACCCTCCCCCTCCCCCACGCAAGCAAGCCTGGGACCTGGCTCTAAATTATAGATGAGGACACGGAGGCAGCCAGAGGCGCAGTGGCCAACTTAAAATTCCCCACTTAGCTACGGGTAGGAGGGCGGGCAGGAGGGCGAGCGTCCTTCCAAACTTAGGGACGGTGAGGAGGAAGGGCCTCAGGCTGCCTGTGCAGTCCACCAAGGCAGTCCGTGTCGCCCCTGTGCAGCTAGGCCTTGTTAGAAATGGTTTCCTCTGGTCAGACCAACTCCTGCATGTCTTCACCTCTGCCCTCCCCCCACCCACGTTTATCCCTCTTATGATGCCGTTTTCAAACCTCATTTAACCTCAAGTCGAAACGTAAAGCGTCCCTTCCTTAGTCCTGAAACCGAAGCCTGTGTCTGCATTCTTGCTCTCTTCAAACCCCTCTTTATTCTGCAATAATAAAAATGCCGCTTTTCATCACAGAACAGGCTGCATGCCAAAATAAATAGCACCTTGGAGTTCTTTGAAAAGAGAGCTTGGCTCAGCGCACAGCCTCACTGCCACAGAACTCTTGGACAACTCAACCTTACAAAGTCAAATGTTTAGCGTGGTAGGTAGCACACCAAATAGCCGCTCCACCGGTCCCTTCAGGATCGCCTGTGAGACAAAGTGAGACAAAGCACTCTTTCCAAAAAAAAAGAAATGCATGCCTCCCATACCTGGGGCAAAGCTGCCCTGAGGATGAGAGCTTTCATTTCCCATCCCAGGACCCCAGGTTTCCAAGTGGAACTGTTTCCTCTGCTAACAAGCTGTGATGGCTCAGCTCCTCCTTGGGAGGGCTGAAGATGAGGTACCAAAGAAGTGAGAAGGACACTCAGGGAGGCAGAGGCAGGAGGATTGCTGTGAGTTTGAGGCCAGCCTGGTCTACAAAGTGAGTCCAGGACAGCCAAGGCTACACAGAGAAACCCTGTCTTGAAAAACAAAAACAAACAAACAAAAACAAACAAAAAGAAGTGAGAAGTGAGGTGAGGTGCACTTCTAAAAGATTCTCCTTGCTCAGTTCTCAGCCAGGATAACTTTCCCCCTACCAGGAGAGAGAGAGAGAGAGAGAGAGAGAGAGAGAGAGAGAGAGAAAGAGAGAGGCAGAGGCAGAGAGAAAGACAGAGACAGAAAGAGAGAAAGGGCCCACTTAGTAAGGTGAGTGTTAACACAATCACATTAATTCCATTTCCACACTTTTCTTCCACTGTTTCTCTTGTTTTGCCCACAGTGCATCTGCAGTATCTGGGGCTTCTTGGAGAACAGAGGCCAGTTGGGAAGAAAGCTCTATACACATCACCTTCCTCAAGCACCGCTCCTCCTAGCACAGCCCAAGCAGGAAGGACTCCCTCCCTCCCACCAGGCTGGCTTCAAGCTGCAGGAATGGAGCTGATTCCAATAAGTTTCTGCACAGTCCTGTCCGCTTCCCAGTTGTTTGTTAAAGGACTCAGTCAGGTGACCCGTGACCCTGTTGGAAAAGCAAATACTGACTTCCTTTCTGCTCTCTGGCGTAGGCAAATTGGGTCAGAAACGAATTCGATGTTCAATAAGTTAATACCGGATTGGACAGGAAAAGGTAAAATAATCAGATCCATCAGCTGTGAGCTTTGTTCCCAGGGCACTGCCATTGTTTCGGAGGGCCACATCTAAAGACACCCCCAAAACACACAACCCTCTTTTCCTTGATGCCTCCAAATCTGGGAACTCAAGAGCTTCCCACCTTCCCCCTACAGCTCAAGACCAAAACTGCCTGTAAGGGCAGTGCAGCCTCCTTAGGACAGGAAACACTCTGGACTTCACATCTCACCCCTCCCCCACTCCCAGGATGCTGGGACCAGCCAGGCCTGAAGCGTTCAAGTGAATGAAAGTCAGCTGGTAGGGTGGGGTGATGACAGAACAATGCCTAGTGAATTCCCAGAGCCAGACTAGCAATTCCCACTTCCTGCTGCCCCCAGCCTGATGCTATGAAACCCCAAGATGCACTCCATCTGGCATGAAAAAAAAAAAAGAGTACCTACAATAACATGCATATCCCTGACTGTTTGGTGATTCCTGCTCTGGCATGGTTTCTAACTGCTGGAAAGGCGGCAGTTTGGGAGGGCAGAGTGCAAGAGCCAGGCAGAGGCAGCTGCCTGAGAAGGAAAGTGACTGAACAGTGACAGCAGACAAGA